AAACTGGTTTGATAAACATAATACTTTCAGGCAGGAAGATAGAGATGTGGAGTATGGCTCATTGGTCCCGAACACATCAAAAAAACTTGTACGCTTGTCATCTGATGATAAATCCTTAAGGGATTGGCACTTTGGCTTTCATATATTCCTGGTATTTTGGAGCTATCTCATTTGAGCTTTTGTTTAGTGTTAGTAGGAAAGTTTTCTCAATTATTTGGATTCATTGCTTAAGGTGATAGCTTTTGTAGATGAATAGGATTCTACTTGTGAATTTCCATTGGCAATTATTAAGAAACATGGTTGCGTGTCAAGAAAACCAGCAACCATGTTCTGTTACCGTAAACTCACAGGTTAAATGGAAGGAGGCCTGGAAATGAATCTGTAGATAAAATAATTTGGTAGAGACTTCTTTTGAAATCTTCTTTGTTTTGTTGATGTTGCAATCTATATCAACACTTACTGTTGTTTTGTAGGATATGCTACCTGAGTATATCCCTATGCATGCCGCAAATTCTATTCTTTTTGCCGGTAAATCCATTAGGATTCTCCAGAATCCAAACCCCGGCTTCGAGTTTCAAGATGCTCTATATAATACGCAGAAAGGAAAATGCTCTCAGAAGGTTCATGGATCTGCAGGGCGTAGTCCTTTCCACAAGGAGCCTATCAATGGAAAAATGGTTGGAGAAGAATTTCTTCCACAGTCTGAGGCTGATAAGATTGAAACTATGCTTCAAGATCTAAAGGTTTTCTTCCACAATTATGTAGTATTGTATCCACTTATCTGCCTTTAAATGGTAGAAAGCATTTCTTAACTGTGCATCTATTATATGTAGGAATCATTAGAATTTCACAGAAGATCATTTGAATGCTCGGTCGATTCTATCCGGGCTATTGCAGCTGCTCATCTTTGGCAGGTGATATATGTCATACTTCCTAAATGATATACTTGATGACCGTATTTAACTGAATTTGCTCTCTGCAGCTTGTGGTTATACTTGCTGACTCGAATGGCCACCTGAAGGCTCTAAAAGACTATTTTCTTTTGGTAAAAGGAGATTTTTTTCCAGGTAAAGAATGTAAAGCATCAATGGCCTTTGCCCCTGCATCCCCAAAAAGATAAAATGATTTTATTTCCTAGCAATATGTAACCTGCATTTAATTCATATTTGTTATCATTCTAGTGTTTTCTTGAGGAGAGCCGGCAGCTAATGTGCCTACCGCCTCGTCCGTCAACCGCTGAAGCCGATATTACAGTTCCGTTTCAGTTGGTTAGAGATACTAGTAACTTGTCTGAAACTAATATAGACATGACAATGAATTTAATTATACTTTCTGAATGTGTACAGACAAGGGTTATTGAGGTTTCAATTTGCATAACTTTATGTATGAATTCCTTGGCTTGCATTTCAGGCAGCCATAAAGACTATTAGTGAGGGAGACATACTTCTCTAGAGTCTCTTTGAGGTAAGAATCTACTCATTTTGTCTTCAGTTAGTGCCATTCTGGAAATTACTAGAGATATATTCCTAATTGTATTTTCCATCAATAAGGATGCCTTCATTTGGGGTCACAGTGAAATCCCTCCCAAGTAGATTTTTCTAACGGAAGTTCGGAGTCATCGGTTGATGGTTGGGATGGTATTACACTGAATATTCTGTTGATTGGCCCTTACAGCTGTTCTTTACACAAGAAGTTCTCTCCAAGTAAGATTCAGTGGCTTCATGGATTCCTTTTATTCGTCTGATTACTAAATATCCTTTAGGCATGAAACAGCAGCCATTTTGAAACAAGGAGTGATAAGAATACAAGTAATTAATGGGGTTAATGGGGTTTACTTATATTGTTAAAAGGCTTGATGTTTTTGTTTATCCTAATTGTGCTGCAGGTACCGGATACTTTTCCAGTACCTGCTGAGGCTCAAACGAACACAAATGGAATTGGGGAAATCATGGGCATCTGTAATGCACCAGGATCGCACAGATTTTGCCAAACACCGTAAAGACCGGAAGAACTGCTCAACCTCTCAGCCACGACGGCAGCGGTTAATACCAATGTGGCATGTTAGAGAGCACATGGCATTTTTAATCAGAAATCTTTAGTTTTATATCCAGGTCCTTGATAGTATAAAGTTCAAATCATGTGTCTGCAAAATTCTTCCTGAAATGCCAGCAACTTGTTTGATTAGTGGCAAGATTCATGTTGTATTTTCTGGTTTAGGTAGATGTTATAGAATCTCAATGGACAGTTTTGCAATCTCACATTCGGAATTCGCATGACTTCGCTGAACTTGTGGGTTCCCATCAAGAGTACGCGGGATGAGTTCTTTGTACTGGCAGTCATCTTGATGATTTGCTAAAGACTTGAATGTTGTTCTTACATGGTTACAGGTATTTATCAGCCTTGTTTTCTCAGTCTTTCTTGGACATTGGCTCGGGCCTCGGTGTCAAGGATACTGACAAGTATCATGATGCTTTGTCTCCAGTTCTGCAGGAACATTGAGAAGAAAGACAGCAGCGAAAATACATCTGAACTAGAACGGATAACAGAGGTAACCAAATGTGGCATTTCATATATATATATATATATATATATTTTATATAAATATATATATATATATATCTTTATGTAGATAGTATTGACAATTAGGGTTGTGTACGTGGGTGTGAACTTAAGAATTTATATTAGAATTTTTTGGAGGTAAAATTAGATCATCAATAGAAAATACAACAAAATCCAAGAATCGAGTAAACTTTATGTAGTTCGACTAGATGTATTAATCCATGACACCATTTGTCAACAATTTATCCAGGAATTTAACAAGAAATCGAATTCCTTATATACCATACTGCCCAGTAGCAGGATTGGGGGAGCCAGCGAGCTCCGTTTCTAAGACGTTTCCTTCTGCGTATGAATTATAATTCCTTCTTTCTAAGACACTTGGTCTTACGATCGTGCAATTATGCGTTTTCAATATATATTACATGTGTTGTTTCTTTTTTTTAATAAAATTCGAATGGTTTTTACCCATTTTTTTTTCATTTTAGTTTTAGATGACGTTAACATGAAACAAATCACCCGTAAGCCCTGCCACGGAGGCAAAGATGTACCCTCCAAAATGCGACTTTAAAACGCGTTTTCACGTGGACAAACCTTTACCAAAAAATTAACCTCTTATTGCTGAGGAAAACCATTATACATAAACTTAATATTTAAGTTTTATTAACACATAGATGACTCGGAAACCAAATAATACAAAGTTTACAGGCTAATCAAATTCTTAACAATACTTAATAAAATGAATGTCAACACTTTAACAAAAATAATTAAGGGTAAAATACATGAATCAAAACAAACTTTTATTTAATGAAATTGTTGCCTTTTATGATTATGACCCTCGATTAAAAAATAAATTGAATAGAAATTTAAAGTTTTTTTAATCTATTTAGATATAACATTTTTATAGGGTAAATTACGCATTTAGTACTTAAACTACCCGTTTTTGTCCGTTTTAGTACCTAAACTTTTAATTTTTCAAAACCATACATAACGTTTAGTTTTTGTTTCATTTTAATATCTCGCCATTAAAAACTTAATGAACGGTTACAACTTGACACTTTTTATGGATAAATTACATAATTCATCCCTTAAATATCTTCTCACTTCTATTTTGGTCATTGAATTTTATTTTTTTAATTACTTAACTTTCAAATTACTCCTAATTTAATCACTCTAACTTTCAAATTTAATTTTTTATTTTAATTATATATTAATAAAATAAAAAAATATAATGTCACAAAATATTATTAATAAAATAATAAAAAATATCATGCCACAAAATATTATTAATAAAATAAATTAGAGTGATTAAAACATGAGCAATTTGAAAGTTGGGATTTTAAATTGAATTTTTTAATTTTAATGACCAAAATAGGAGTAAGAAGATAGTTAAGGGATAAATGATGTAATTTACCCATGAAAAAATTTCGTGTACAAAAAATCAGTTAAATTTTAGCATCGGGATACTAAAATGAAACAAAAACTAAACGTTTGATATGATTTTGAAAAAATTAACAATTTAAGCACTAAAGCAGACCAAAACTAATAGTTTAGGTATTAAATGTGTAGTTTACCCTTTTATCATTTTGACCCAATATTTTAAAAATCATCTAGTTTCAAATTATGTAGCAACTTAGGAAAATTAAATATATATATATATATATATATATTAATTTTTGAAAGGATATAATATAAAAATTGTTAAAGATTCAAAGAAGTCCTCAAAAATTTTAAAAATCATCTAGTTTTACAATGAAATATGCAGGGACTATAACACAAACTTTCACACCGGTTCCCTTAAAAATTTAATGGTTCAATCAACTTTTTGTCAAAAATAGTAATCTGATTAAATTTTAAAGGTTGAAAGTCAAGTCAACAAAACGAAAAAAATATTAATGACTAAATTTATAACTATGTAAAAATCAATAATTATTTGAATATATTAAAAACAAAATGTTAAACTCATCTTCGAACGAGCAGAAGTTAAGATCTTATTTAAATATATTTGAAAACATCATATCTTTATCCTATCGTTTCGAAAAGTTAGACCCTAATATGAGCAACCTCTAAACACTAGGCCCTTGTTTGAAAATTTAGCTTCACTTTAGCTCTTGTTGGAGGTCTTTATTGGTTGGATAGAGTTTACACATGAAACTAATACATGTCGTATTTCCAAACTTGTTTTCAATAGACTTATCTTATTGCTTTGTTTTTAAAAAAACATTTATTTTTTAACTTAATATTTATAAAATCATATATTTCATTAAATTAATATTTATAAAATATTTGGAAGCTTGTAAATATGAAACTGACCTTCGAACTTAAACCGATAAGTCTGACCCTTGAATAGACTACCAAAACAGCAAGCCTTCAATTATTATGTACAACTAGGAAATTGGGATGAAACCAAAAGGAGAAAACAACTCCTTTGTATTTACGTTCATTCAATGCTCCTCAAAACCTTCCTCCTGCATCTCTGCCCTCCTAGTTTCCATCTTTTCATTCATAACAAACAATGCCATCAGTGAGCATATGAACAAGGTGTTGCTATAATCATCGAAGATACTCTTAAATAGCCCTTACCTGAGCATTAGAAAACCGCAATTGTTCCGAGACGAACAGTATGTTCTTGTGCTCTCCCGGTTTCACTGCCTTACCTAAACTTTTAGCCACATCATTGTACCTAACCATCTCTACCTTGAAACCATTGCTCATAAAAAGATTGCCCATCCATTCCCCTGTACTAGACTGCAACACAAAAAAAAAAAACACCAGACATCATGGCTCGTGTTTCCTTGAACAACAAAAGCAATCCAAGTAATGGCATACATGGATGGACCAAGGAGGCGGTCATCTTTTGAAAATTTCGAATTCTCGTATGACTGAAGTATTAAGTTCACCACCAACCATACAACATACCTTCGAACCGAACTCGGTCTCGGCCAACCATGCAGGCAACTCCCCTAGAAAGACACTTCCTTTCATAGCCATACCACTGACTGTGGACAAAATCTCCTCAAACCTTGCCAAAGTCATCACAGGAAGTCCCTACCAACAACATGAAAGCAGAGGAAATTACTTGAGAAAGTTGTTTCTTTAGAATATGCAGAGGGAGGATAAGCCTCATAAAACCTGGATAGCCCAGATGCTCGGTCGATTTCCGTTAAAGCCCGTGGCGCGCAATGCCTGTTGAATATCGGTAGATTCCAGTGGAACATGAAGGTACAAACAGTTTCTTGGGACCTTAGCCCCAACACCTAGTTTGTTTAAACAAGATTTACTCGGTTACATGTAGCAAAATATGCAGAATAAGTCCAGCAGTTTGGGTACCTTTTAGCTTTTGAGCTGCTTTTTGGAAGACTCTGTCAGGAGAAATATCAAATATGATGGTGGAGCTCGGCCAGTTAAGCCTATATGGCCGAGTATCCATCCCATCCGATAAGATCACAACCTGCAATTCGTAATGAAAAGAGTTTAAAATTCTTCTCCAATGGGGCAAAATGTTAAAATTAGTCCTCCAACTTTTATTTTAATAATTATTTTAACTCGTATTCTTTTTTTTAGCATTGTAATCCAATGGGACATAATATTTTTACACTTGCTTAATTGTTAAAGTGTTATATGCAACATCACCCTCCTCGATGAAGTGACACATGACATGTCATGTCATTATCTTAAGTGACTTGACATATGATATGTTAGCAATTTAACACAAAATTATCATGTTAGTAAAATACGTCGATCGTTAGTAAATTAACGATTTTCATCGTTTTGATCAAAAATTAAAATGTTGAAAATTAAAATGTTTCGAAAATATAAAAATAAAATACCATTCAAATAAATGTTCAGTTAATTTTGACATTATGTATTAACCCCGGGTTTAGTGAAAACACCTGTTTAAGGCCGTCCATGTGGTTCGCTGTACGAAGCAGCTTATCATCGATGAACTTGGTTGCAATGCAGTAATGTTTCAAAGGATTCTCCAAATCCATCCGAGTGTGAGGTGGAACAAAGCACCCTGCATACGGATCAGCAAACAGAGGCTCTGCAAATGCAATACAAAAACAAATGATGATTAAGCTTTAGCCACAAGTGTCATAAAACCAAGAATCGGATTACTGATTGCCTCGTTTGTGGGTCTCCTGGAAACGAAGAGAAGCCGAATGGATGGCTGATCGGAGCAAGGGGTCGTTTTCATCGTTGAGTTGAGCTTTGAATAACCACGCGTTCCTCGTCCTGTTGTTATTGCAGTTGAGTTTCGACATCGGCATTGGCAAACATGCAAATTTTAGTAAACATCCCATCAGGTTTCTGGATTTTGATAAAGTTTTAGAGGATCTTGATTGAGTTCAGAGAAACTTTCAGTAAATTTGTATTCAACAGTCAGTGCACTATATAATGGTGAAACAGGTGTAGAATATTTCTCTGTACCTAATATTACGGTACCTAATTTACAAGAAAAGAGAGAAAAGAAAGATGAAGCAGCGGATCGTAGAAAAGACTGTATAAAGTAATTATATTCTTTTATTTCATTTCTATTTAAGTAATTATAATTTTTTAAAAAAAATATATTTATTACACTTGCTTTTAAGCTTTATTTGGTTCTTAATTGTCTATCTCTTATTGTTTTCAATTTCTCGTTGAAGTTACTTTTTCTAATATTTATTTGTGTTGGCTGTGTTTTAATATAATATATATTATATGTGAATAAATATTTCTTCGATTTTTTGAGCATCACCAGATTACTACAAAGCATTTCATATATGGCTACAGGTTATTAGTAAAAATATATATAAAAAATTAAGTATTTATTAAAAAGAGTGATGCTAAATGAGTCATTGTCAGGCACCGAAATCATAAAAAATAATATTCTAAGCCTAAAATAAAAATAAATTTAGTAAAAAAAAGTGTAAGGCTGGATAATTAAATTATTGGATATAAAAACTAATGATGAATGCTTAGACTTACATCTTCGAAAATAAATAAAAATAATTTAAACTGGGCTTCAGATACTCGCCTGGCTTTGAAAAACCAGGTCCTAACGGACCCCTGGAACTACCATTCTTCTGTATTTCAGACCTATGTCATGACGGTGCGAGGGGTCCCACCTGCTTACCGGCCTGCCAGAGAGGGTAGACCGCCCTTTGCTGAAAGGCTAGCTGTAGGCGTCCACGGTGGTCTTCCTCTCTCTCCCGATGGTTTATATAGCTTTACTGACCTTTTTTCTTTAAAAGTTGATCAAGAGCATTGGCAGTTGAAAAGAGGAAGATGAAGTCAAACTCGTAGGATTAAGATCCTTGGTAAAGAAAAAAAATATTTAAAGTGAATTAAAATATTGTAAAAACTGAAATAAAACTGCCTAATGAAATAAAAATAGATTTAACCCATGGTGAAAAATTCTAACTTAAAATAAGATATTAATTTTAGTGTCTAAGTTGATTATATATATATATATTTTTATTTTATGATAAAACGATTATAACAATTGAATTTGATTTGTCGACAGCATTGTAAACAAGAAGAACCCGATTATCAATGAGTGCAACAGCGTGACTCAACAAATAAAAAATAAAACCTAAATATTAAAAATAACAATAAATAGAAACAAAGTTTATATATAATTTGGTATTCTTCTTCTTCCTTGCATAAAAATAATTTATTGTATCAAGTCATGTACAGAATATGGTATCTTGCTCACCAAAGTTTATATATAAATCAACCAAGTATATAATAATTAAGCTTAAATTCTATGGAATTGTCAAAGTAAAAAAATTGTAAATTATGCATCTTACTAGCCCTTATAAATCAGAGTTTACTTAATTGAGACATATATTAATAAAAAAATAAAATGTATTTTATATGTGAAAGCATTAATTGAGTTTCGCTGCTCATATTTTATATATAGTTTTTTAAAGTTATTTTTTTTGGTATTAGCAATTTGATTTAACAAGGCCACAGAATAATAGAAAAACCCGTGGTGTAAGATCAACTAAGAGCTCTAACAATGAACTCATGAAAGAAATATGCATCCTTTTGATAGCATCTAACAGATTAATACATAAACAATGGAATTAAGTATCAGCAACCAAAACTTGATTGAAAAACAAAGTTGGGGGGTCAAAAAGCAACCCCAAATAAGTCCTGAATATAAAGAAGTTCCCTCAAAAAAAAAAACCCAGAATGGTAACAAAGAAACGGGGCCGAACTGAATCTTCATTCTTCTTCTTCACCTTCGTTCTCGGCAATATTGAAGTAGCGGAGTTCATAAACATTCCGCTCCTTGTTGGAAGCAATCACCCGAAGCCAGTCCCGGACATTGTGCTTCTTCAAATACTTCTTAGTCAAATACTTGAGGTACCTGGAAACCAGACAACCATCAGCAAAAACTCAACTCCAGCTTTAAAAAAAGGAGAAAGTTCTTCCCCATTTTAAACAAAGAACCCAAAACTTCTGAGATAGTATCAGACAATCAAGGATCAAAGCAGAAGAGTTTAACCATTGATCTTAAAGCAAAGTTCTTTTTTTTATAGTACATACTACAAAGCAGCTAAAATCATGAAGTTCACCTAATAAACAAAACCATTTTCTTAAAATGATTCAATTCACAAATAGAGCTCACAAAACGTCATATTCCTAAAATTAATTCAATTTATATCCACTCTGGAAGTGGAAAACGGACAACAATGGAGTAAAAAACTACATTATCAAGACCTTGGGCATCCGAGGAAGAATTAAAGCAGCAGTAGCTCTCAAAAGCCAGGTGAAAGGCAAAAGCTCTCGAGCAGCCACTGCGAATGTTTTTGAGAACCAAGCTTCAAAACTTTTCATCAACGGCCTTGACCTTTAAACCTAAGTCTAGCTCTAAATTTAAAAGAGTTCACTCATACCTGATTGCTTAAGAATCAAACATAGTTTACGATCTAAGAATTCAGAACATTTCAATAATACAACAAAAAGATAAAAAAGGAGAAATAGAGAAAACACCTCTTAGAGAAGTTAGAGTCGGAGGAAACGGTGATCCTAGTCTTTTCGCGGGTGACTGTGACGGAGTCGCCGAGAGCACCGGCCTTACCGCCAACCTTGATCCTTTCCTGAAGAAACTTCTCCAGAGAAGCGATGTCCATGATCTTATCTTCGACCGGCTTCGAACAATCGATGGTGAAGGATGCTCCCTTCTTCTTTCCCTTAGGTCCAGCTGCTGCCCCGCGACTCATCTTCGCACCAACTCACTGCGTTTTCAACGAGTGCAATCAATTAGAAGGAAAAGGTAAAGAGAAAATGAACAAATGAAAGGAAGGCAGTTATACAGAGAGTACCTTAGGCTGTCCCTGCGATTTGGAGCTAATGAACGGCGATGTTACAAGATGGTTTGATTGGAGCAGAGACAAAAAGATATACGGAATGCTAACTAGGGTTTTTCGCCTTTCCGGTGCTGCGATTGGGCTTTGGTTCCTGTAAGGTTTGGGCTTTTTGGGTTAAAAGAAGATATATAATAATGACTGAAAACTATTATTTTGTTAATTTTGTCCTTATATTTTTTAAAATTTATTTTTTAATCTTTCAAAAATAATTAAATTTGACTGAACACGATTACTATAATTTAGAGAATGAATCGTATAGAGCCTTAATTAATTATGGCAAGAGCCACTGACCTGTCTGCAGAGCTAGCAAGGTAAACCCTTTTATTTTTATCGTTTTATATAAATGTGTATGGATAGATTTTACTCTCAAAAACTATCATCTCTATCTCAAATTGCCCCAAAATTATCGGTGTCTAGTAATATGTCATTTTGGTATTGACAACCTTTATATTTGAAGTAAATTTAAATGAAAATGATAGGAGAAGCAAACGAGAAATGCCATCATAAAAATTTAAATTTAGATTCGATTAAATTTATTTAAGACATAATATGATACTCGAACCATATACTATTAAAATATTAATACATGGAATATTCACCTCATCTTTTATTATTTTCTAAATTAGAAATCAAATTTAAACAAAAAAAAAAACATTTGATACTTTTTAATCATCATTTAACCAGCAATTATTTTTTAAATAGACATATTTCAAATATTTATTTATAATTAAACCAAAAGTAGGGCAAATAGATGAAAAAAATGAACATAGTCGCTTGTTGTTCTCATTTGCTCACTTTTAAAATTCAGAGACTAATTCCTTATCAAAATTGCGACACTTCAAATTTCTTTTTATCAAAAAATTTCAGCCTAATATCAAAAGGGAAAAAATATTTAAAGATTACAAGTACTCGATGAGAGATAAAATTACCAGTAGAGCGATTGAAGCAAAAACTATTTACTGAAGAGACGCCAAATTTGCAAGGCAAAACAAACCAAAACGAAAGCTGCAAACAAATTACAATACCAATCGTGTCTAATTAATTTCCACTGATTTTCACTTGAGAAATGCAGCTAGAAACAACATTACACCCGATGAGCTGATCTAATTCACATCTTTTGAACTTGGCAGGCTTTAACAGTCATGTGATCAGAACCTTGATTGCATATGCAGACCTATATGACTATCACACTACTCGAGATATGCAATCTTCTATGAAGTAATTGAAGCTAGGATCATGCTAGGCGACGGAAAACTCCACAACGAGCTACTTAAATGATGTTTTTTCTGATTGAAGTTTTCAGGGTGCCTCCAGAATGTGTAACAAAGATTTTTCCATAGTTCCATACTGTGGAGTTCACATAGATGGTCTTAAAATAGCACTTCAAATATTGTAGAGAGTTCAACTCCGGATTCGAAAGTCCGACTACGGTTCTCATTTCTGCCCTCAATGTACTACTAATCCCTAGTCTGCAATTACCTCTCCACCTCCCACAACATTCACTATTTCCATCTCTACTGTAGTCCTCCATCATGCATAAGAAGACCAAACCTAGAAGTATGTTATATATGAAAGAACTAGAAAAATTATGAACCTGCTTGTGTGGTGCTCATACTAGAATTTGATGCTAAACCCTGGATCCGATTAACTTACCTTTCTATTAATCCGAGCCTGACTCAATACAAAGTCATATAACAGGATGAGAATCTACTTAACATGGTCTTAGCATTCTAAATTATTTGAGTCTGACTCAATACATTAAGAAATGTTGCACTAGTGTTTCAGTGTATTCTAAATTATCTTGCTCATAGCGTTAAAGAAAAAAGTGGCACTAATCTGTGGTTGATCAATCCTTCACTAAACCAAGTAATGGAAGTATGGAACTGATACCAATCACATAAACATAAGTAAAATACAGAGAGTTCAAATTCTAAACGAGTCAAAGAGTTGAAAATCAATTTCGATATGCAACTAAAACCCAATTCAATTAAAGCGAAGATGAAAACAACCCACCATCCCAATCCGATTCAAAAATTTAATTATTTACCCCCAGGAAATCGTCTAGATTGATGAAAAAGAAGACTTAATTCTAAGCTTGCTTACTTTGCCATTAACGCAATCAAAGCCGCGCCCACACTGTGGGGACTCATAAAAGTTATCAATAGCGAAGCTAGCAGATGTAATCCCTACCGAAAACTCCAGCTCGTCTTCATCTCTAACAACCTCCACAATGTTCAGCCACAAAAACAGGACTTTGACGCTTATTCCACTGAGATTTTTGAGCTTGTTTTCGGAGATGATCCCACTGGTTGTCGATTTGTATTTGAGTTGATAGGATCCTTGCAGTCCGAAGCTACACGAACTGTTTAAGTAGGCATGGAAGCAGCCTGTGGACTCGTCTAGATCGTACTTTAAGACGCCTCGGGGGAGAAGACCGACGGGGAAGTTGTAGCCTTGGAGGATTTCGTAGGGTGAGAGTGCCTCACCGCCGGTGACGGGGAGGAGCGTTGAGGATGCGAGTGGCGAGAGAAGGAGGAGGAGGGCGGCGGTGAAAATGGTGGTTAGATGGAGAGCCATATTGAAAATGGATTTGCAACTCGCAAGTTAGAAGCGAGGGGGGCAAATGAATGAGTAATGATCGAGTTAGGGGGTAAGATTTGGGTGTCAGACAGCACGTTGTTAAGCCATAAAGGACATAGATTTCAAATGTATTGTAGGTACATTTTCCATATGATTTATATACATTTTCATTGCCAAAAAAATCACATGAAAGCTCCCAATGTTAACCTTGTAAATTCTTTTTAATTTATAAATGATTTTTTTGAAAAATATTATATATATATCGTTTTGTTTTTTTAATTATTTAAATATTAATTAGAGTGTGTTATTGCTTCTAAATCACGCTTATGGAATTTGTTCTAAATTAAAATTTATATTGAAATGAAGAGTGGAATACAATTTATATTTGAAAACTTAGTGGAGATAAAAAGTGAAGAATGCAATTCAGGAAATGGGTTTTAGGCCTACTGATGATACAGATTTCCCAAGAACTCTGGAAATCACAAATATACCCTAACAGTACCTAATTATGAACCATCTAGTAACTATACATCAGTACTTACCTAAATAGAAGACACCGAAGCATTTAAGTGATTGCAGTACACTCATAAGTCATAAAAGTTGTCAATAGGGAAGTTATAGCCGACGCAAGCCCAATGGAGAACTCCATTTGATCACCATCATGTGTCACTTCAACCATGTTAAGCCGGAAGAAGAGAACCTTAACGATCACACCCTTCAAATAAGCTGAGTTGGAAATACTCAATGGGAAGTTTCAGGTTCCGCTCAAATATGCTGAAAACTCGCCTGTTTCTCTGTTCAATTACCCAAGCACGCCAATGGGAAGATTGCTTATTGGGAAGTCGTATTAGAAGAGCTTGGTATGCTGATAGGCTTTCGTCATCGGCAATGGCAAATGAAGAAGCTGGTGGGCAGGACCGATGCATAATTTTGTTATAGGGGCACGTATCTAAAATTGAAAAATGGGTTTAAAATTTTAATACTTGATTCTAAAAAAAGTAAGATGTATAAATTTTCTTATTTTTTCCTATTCTTATTAGTAAACTAAACTAAAACTAAATTTAACAATTTTCTCAAAATAATGACTGTGCAATGACTCTTCTATAGAGTCAAGTACATCCGCCCTTAGAGGGTGAACTTTTAAAATTTTAGGAAAATACAAACTTATAAAATTTAAAGGGGCGTGAAAACAGATTTTCAATACACATAATTTTAAAATTTTAGGGGGAAATTAGAGTGAGGAAGAGTAGGATTCCGCTTGGAAACGCCAGAGGAAATCTTTGGTTTTTTGGAGTTGATTGAGTAGTGATCTTTGTTGTGATGGGATAAGGGAAATTTTGAATATTTTTCGAGTGCAAAAGTCAGATGTGGCTGCTGCTGAGCTTCAGCTAGTGCACCAAAAAACAGAGTCCAACCGAGTTGAGTCGTGGGCTGGAAGACAGACATTTTCATTTTTGTCTGGTTAGGATAATCATACATAAAAGATGTTCAAATTAAACGCCAAGAATACCAAAGGGTGTTGATGCAATTTGCAATAACAAATTCACGCTCGTCCCATGGTCAAAAAGAATTCAATAAAACTGATGGTATATATGCATACAAATGATATATACGAAAAGAATTTCCAATTCACATCTATTAACTTAATAAAACTAGGAATAACCAACTGCAGTGCCCATCTATGAAGCAAATAAATTAGCAATGAACTACTGGGAAATAATGGCAATTGCAGTCAACAAAGGTGAAGGAAAAAAGAACAGAAACATACATGCAAGTCCTTGCCGCATCAGTTCACATCCTTGAGTCTTTTTATCAATGCATCCAAAGGCTTCTTCTTTGGGTTCGGCTTGGCTCCCCTGTTTCCAAAGCTTCCAAATAGCCTATCTTAAGGATCCCTTAACTTCTCAGAGATTGCCATAACTTTCCTGTAGTCAAGGGCATTGTAACTCCTCTCTCGGATCACTGGATTCATAAAATTCTCCGGATGATTGCTTAAAAGCAAGTTGATTAACTGCCTTGATTCTGCAAATCCATTTTTCAACTGAATGTTATCCCCTTCTTCTGAGAACAGAGTAGCTAGGTTATCTGCAAAAGATTCTAACATTTGAATATCTACATCAATCCCCAAGATATCATTCACATTGATCCTCTTAACTGAATCACTAAGTAAAGCTTCAACAATCTTCCCTGATATATGAGAAAGGACATCTTGTAAAACTCTTTTCAGAACTTGAGTAGGCAATATCTGTTGAGCGGTAGAAACAAGTGTTTCCAAGTATATTATAATTTCATTTGCATATTCGTTACCGGTTTGTGAAGGTTCATCGGTCATCCAGTTCACATTCTCAATCAATGTCATCAGACCATCAACCTTTGTCTTGAGCATCCCAGACAGCATATCTCCCGCAGCATCCCGGGCTTTATTAAGAGGAAACTGCCTCCTACCCCTTTCCGCCGTTCTCAAAGGAATACCCGAAAGTAGTGCAGCATGACGAAAAAAGAAATCACAAGCACGCTCCAAGACTGCAATATTGGCTGCAACCTGCATTGCCTGAGAAACCCCATGGACAGATGAATTAATAAGCTTCAAAGAGCTCCATCTAGAACCTCACTCAAAAGCTGGTCCAAGTACTTCTTAACAACATCATAAAAATCCAGCTGGCCGCAACAAGACATAAAACTAACAGAATCTTCAATGAAAGACCTCACGATCCGACAACAATCAGGCACGGTAGATGAAAATGGTGCAACATAAGGAAATGCAGGAACGATATCTGATGTTTGTATATGGAAAGCCAACACATTCATCGTGTAGTCGTACTCTTTTCTCATCAACATCTGCTCGAATTTATCAGCAGCAAGTACTTCTGCAATCTTCTTTCTACAATCAGATAACAATAGCTCATGGTACTTATCCCTATGCTTGTTCAAAACATAAAGCAATGAATCAACAAGGTAGCCATATCCACGCATAGCAACTCCGAACAAACTGACATAATCCTTGATCAGTAACAAGTGATTAGCAGCCTGCATCCTAGAAAACTGATCCTCTAAAACCGAGCACATTTTAGTAACAGCAGTCTCCCACAAATTCTCAACGTCCATTTTAGAAATCAAGCCCCCTCCTGTCCTTAAAACTCTTCAACGATCGATTTTCGATTTGTAAAGAAACCAGCGATTTGTGCAAAGATGTTTGATGCGATTCAAGAAAGGGAGCCATGGAAGATACTTGAAAATCTGACGTTAGTTGGAGCTTCCTGTTCTCAAAGTAATAATGCTTAAATTGATCTTCGAGTGCTAAAGTTTGATGGATATAGTAAGCTCGATAAAGAGGAGCTAAATCAAGGCCTGACAAGCCGCTATTACCCTCATAACCGTCATTTTCGTCATCATCTTCTTGTAAAGCGTAAACGAAATCTCTCAAGCTGAATCGACCATGTTCTTCGGATTGGTTTTGCTTGATTCTCAGGTCCTCCTCGCGTTGCCTAGTAGCCGAGGCTTCTCCGATGGCTAATTGCCCTAAATTGCGACTCACCGCGCGAATCTCCACAAGCCAATCGCTGAACTCTTTGCTTATTTTTCTCTCAATATGAGACCGAATCTCTGGAATTTTCCTCTCCAGCATCCTTTTTAGAGTAGACGACGGCGTTTTATCCAAAAATACGTTTTCATCGAGTCTAAGCATTTCAAGGCCATGTAGAAACTTCCCTTCGACAGGTGGTGATTCGCTCTCGAGCAAAGCTCAATTACCTTAATACACGTGGTCACCGATTGCAAGCGGTGTCCACGTTGTTTGAAACGTTTTGAGCTTCGACAAAGGAATCGAGGGAAGAAAGGAGAGGACCGGCGACGGATTGTAGTTTTGAGTTGAAATCGGAGAGAGACGATTTGAGAGAATCAACGTCGGAGAGAAGAGAACGGAGATCATCGACGGCGAGGATGAAATCTTGGTAGTGAGCTTTACAAACTTGTTCAATCTCGGACTCTTTAGAACGAGCGAAGTAACGGAGGAGTTGGAGGAGGGCTTCAGGCTTACCGGAAGCGAAAGCTTTGCGGACGAAAGGACCGAGGTCCTCGCCGTTACAGATAGCGGAGGAAAGGAGGAGCTGTTCCGGTTTTTCTCCGGAGTCGCATCCATCGACGGCGGTTGCCGCCACTTTGCGGCGGGACCTCACTGACTTCATTTTTTTGGGTACGGAATGGGAGAATGGGTGATATTTGGACAGAGAGGAGAGGGATATATCAGATATGTTTGTTATTCAGTTATATTTGGGGTGACAGTAATGGTGGGGGCATATAGGTAATATGGAAAATATTAAAATAATAATAGATAAATAGAGTAGCTTATCAGAGTTGGACACATCCGAATCCGATGAAAATTCGTCTACGGCAAGCGAGGCGGTGATGTTATCTTTTTGTTAAGTGGGATTGAGACACCTATTGTCTTCTTCCTGACTTTATAACTAAACAACAATGACTCATATATTATTTAAATTTTGTTCTTCAAGATTTTCTGACCTAAGTGGACCAAAGGAACTTCTCAATTTCTCTATTGTTTTATTCACTTTCTCTAAAAATATAATTAAACGAACTAATAAATATTATTATTTATATATATAATAAATAAATGTAAAATAAATATTATAATAAAAATTAAATATAATATAAATAAAAGATATATTATTTTAAGTTAGTAAATATTAAATTTACTAAAACTTCAAGGACATGGCTGGAAAAGCTTTTCACAGCTGAAGCATCAAGAGATTACTAAAACTTCGATTTACTGCTTTTTCCATTCTCAATGCGGAAACTAAAACTATTAAAGATGTTTGGGAAGCTGTTAGAGACAAAATAAACAAGGTAAATTGGCACAACATCATATGGTTCCCTTCTCACATCCAAAAATCAGTACGATCACTTGGATGACCATCTTGGACAGACTTTCAACTCGAGAAAGACTATCTTAGATGGGAATCATCAATGATAGCAGTTGTGTGTCATGTAACGAGACTATTGAAACAAGGGATCATTTATTTGCTGACTGCAACTTTACTAAATC